GGATGGATGGATGGATGGATGGATGGATGGATGGATGGATGGATGGATGGATGGATGGATGGATGGATGGATGGCATTGTTCCTCCTTTCTGGTTTTAATCAAGCACTAAGATGCAGAACCTTCTTTCAGTACTTCGGTGACTTGTTCAAAGTTCAGTTAACTGAACCCAAACAGCTGCTATGTTTGGTTCTGAAAAGAAACGGACAGGCTGGTGATGAGGCTCAGCTATGGGTGAACCCGACTGGTCAGTTTCACCTAATTTCAATGACCAGGACCTTTAGAAATGTATGCCATATCCTTTGCAGGAGTCCAGTGCAGCGCTAGAGAGACCAGAACGGGTTTGGGAAGGAAGTAAAACAAGGGATTCTCAACATAGGAACCGGCATACTGACTTTTTTACTGAGCTCATGATTGTCTTTACCTCTTTGTAAAGAGTGGGCTGTTTCCACCAAATTCCTCTGTTTCCGGGTAGTAACTGGGCTCTTTGGAATCAACTATTGATGAATGCCTGTTCTTGATGCTGATTGAGGCCTTGGAGGTCTCAGTTGTTCCCTGAAGCTGCTACTTGGTTTCAGGATTTTAATAACTTTCTAGTCCAGTTTGGTTCTGCTCATCATTTACTGTCAACCTGGATATCATCAGAACATCACCAACCCATAGTGTCATGGTATGATCAGATATTTTCTACCTGTGATCACCTCCAAAGCTTATTACCATGATGCTCTGACAGGACTCAAGCTATTCTGATGTCCTGGATTCTTTCAGTTAGTAACATGTTCTACATTTCTTCACTTTTATTAAAGAAAAAAGTTATTTTTATAGGAATATTACTGTTTCTCGGTTTTATTCAGATTTTTTTTCTGTTATTTTCAAACTTCAGCCACAACCTTAATTTGAAGGAGGGGTTCAGGGCTTGGATGAACCTAGAGCTGGGGTCTCTAACTCAAACCTTGAGGGCCGGCATCCTACTACATTTAGATGGATCCCTTGTTCTAAAGACTTGAATCAGATAGCTTAACCGCTGCAGAAGCAACGATCAAGCTCTACTAATTAGTTCATATTTTCAGGTGTGTTGAACCAGAGACACAAAAGATGTAGGACATAGACCATTGAGGATCTGAGTCTGAATCCACTGCCCTAGAGAAAGTTGTTGGGGGTTCAAATGCCTCTGGTAGGGTCTCCCAGGTAAACACGCTTTGGGTGACGGGTCAGACAAAGAGGAGTTTCAAAAAGCCAAAGAGATCAAGGCAAGTGACAACACCATGTACAACAGAGCTGGAACCTCACCCTAGAGCCAGGCTTGGTTGGAAGTGCCCTGGCTGTCAGGTTCCTCCTTGCAGGACATGGCCTGGCCAGGCCATAAAGACTGATGCAAATGCATCCCTAAGGGGGCCCACTACCTGCAGGGGGAACAATGAGGCACAGTTAAGATTGGGCAGCAGTCAAATCTGATCCATGGACAATTAAAATGGCTGTGGGGATGTCAGATCTCTCCTCGCTGGGTGAAAGAGTCTGAGCTTGAGCAGAAGGTGGAGTGATACCTTCACTATAGGGTATGGGTCTGCCTGAAGCTGTTTCTGTACAGGTTTCAAGTGGAACCCAGCGGGGGACAACAGCAGTGAGGGATGTCATCAAGTTAAAGATGGAGTCTTAATGAGCCTAGTTGGTTTGTTGGACTCCTGAGGCAGTAAGCATGATTGCAGTGTGAACAGTGATTGCCGCAGCAAAGACAGGCCTTGGAGGAGTTTAGAGGGACCATGGAGAAAGACTATGGGTCAACAACAAAGTAGCCGAGATGAGAATCAGCTCCACCTTGCATTTTTCAGGTCATGGAGAGTTCCTGCCTCAAGTGGAGAACTTCAAGTATCTTGGGGTATTGTTCATGAGTGAGGGAAAAAGATGGCCAGGATGGAGGGACTGTCACCTGGCAATGGAGCCCCTTTGGCTTCCCCCAGCAGGGCTGGAGGAGATTTCTGGGGACAGGGAAGTCTGGGAATCTCTACTGAGATAATGATGATCACTTATTTTTCTTTATTTATTTTTGTCTATTCCTTTGATCTTAACTTGATTTGTAATCCTATTTTATTATGTGAGGTGATTTATTAGTCGTTCACCATCTTGATGTTTAAAGTTTCTTTAAGGTATAAAAGTCTTGATCAGTTAATTTATTCTCCTTGTATTTAAAATTAAGATATTCTAACTGTTTCTATTCCTATTAAAACTATTCCTGTTAAAAGGGAGTTTTTCCTCTCCACTGTCGCAAGAAGCATGCTCAGTGTGAGGGATTGCTTTCGAGTCAAGGAGCCGTTACAATCAACTAGTTTGCCTTAGATATAAACCTTTGAATCAATTTGACTGGATGATCTGGTGAACTGAATTGAATTGAATTAACACATACTGTATTTTAGACTTAATCTATTCTATTTTCTTTGGGTCCTTAATCAGTACCAGGCAGTGAAGCTTTAAATAGACTCAGAACCTGGTGTGGGTTTTTACTCCCTGCTCTGTCTGCAGGACGGCTATATTGACTTTGTGGAGTACATCGCTGCCATCAGCCTGCTGCTGAAAGGAGAAATCAACCAGAAGCTGAAGTGGTACTTCAAACTGTTCGACCAGGACGGCAACGGGAAAATCGACAAGGATGAGCTGGAAACCATCTTCACAGTGAGTTGTTTATATCACCATATCATCTGCTTTATTTGCAAACCATTGGGTCACATTATGACTGAGGCCATTAGGAGCTTAGTTGTTTTATCTGACATAAATTAACAACCTGTCAATTCACTGCATCACCAGAACATTTTTAATTCCATCTACTCAGTTTTTGGTCCTGCAGGCCTCCGTAATAGAAATGCTAAGAGGTCAACCGATTAATTTATCAATTAACAATCAGGCTTAATGAAGGCAATCCTGAAATAGTTATGAATGAACCTCTTTACATACAGGTACAGCTGAGGAGAGTTAGATTAAATCATGCTAAACTCTGCCCCCTACTGACAGAAGGTGATAAATGCAGCCTGAGTGAAGAGAACCTAAACATGAAGGAAGCAATGAACAGATGGCATGAGGTGGGCTTTCAGGAGGATTTTTGAGCTGTAAACAGTTAGATGGTTGAGTTTGTGTCTGACCCGGACTCTCAGGGGACCCAGCAGGGCCCATTCTGAATCGCTCTGTTTTGTCTTTAAGCTGCTTGTTCTTTGTTTAGGAGCTACAAAAACTGCAAATCTAAAACCGTCTGAGCTTCTCAGCCCAGAAGGCTTTAAATCCACTTTACAGACCTGGACACCAGATTACTCCTAATCTATTTGTTAGAGCAGAATTTATTTTGTACAGATTAACTCTGGACCTGAGTTACTGCTTGTCCGTTTCAGATTCAGGACTAGTTCACCTAGAATAAAAACTAAAGTCAAAATTTCAGTTCAGTTTGGATGATTTCTAACTAAAAGGCTGAATAATGAGGGATAAATCTTTAAAGATCAGCTTTATTACTTTCTTCAGAGCCAGAAGTTTACATACACAGAGGTCACTGTAGCTTTAAGCTCTTTAAGAAAGTCTTGATGAAGAACGGTTAGCAAGCTTCTGATGGAGCCACAGGAGGAGGAGTTTCTTAAAAAAGCGCCTCAAACCTTTTCCTGTAAAGCTGGAAAATGAACCTTGCGATTAACAGCAGTCCTAAAGGCACCAGGCCATATTTCTTTTTTACATTCAGAAGAAAGAAGAAATCAGTCTGACGGCACCATCCCAGCTCGGAAGTTCAGGAGAGGCAGCATAATACTGCGGGCTATATTTGCTGTACCAGACAACGTAAATGTTATCTCAAATGAAGACACCAGCCAAGAAATGAAAGTTTTGGCATAAATAGGGGCGTTGTTATGTCCATGCTTTAGCATTTAACATCTAGACGGCGTGTCTCAACAAACCAGCAGATTAGTTCATAGAGGTTTGGGGGCAACTGGGTCAAGTTCTAGAGAGTCCATACCAGACCCAGAGGAAACGAGTGGAGCAAAGCTACAATCCTTAAGGGCTGTTTATCCTCCCGCAGCGGTGTTGCAGTGAGCTTGTCACAGGTATTTTTGAGGGCAGATTAGACTTCTGCATCGGCAGACATTAAATGTCGCTTGGGTCTGGTCATTAACCAGTTTTGCTGGTATGCTTCTGCACCATCGGTCTGGAATTTCTAGGGATGCGCATCAGTTTCCCGCCAAAGCGCAAGTGGGAGCCTATTCAAGAACTTGCGAGGTCTTCGGCAGATGGTCACGAGAACTTCGGCGGCGCCTGCGACACTGCTTGACATTGAAGGGGAACTGGTTCTGTTAATGGAGTTGGCAAAAAGACAGACTAACCTTTCGTTGTTGTTGTCAATCATGGTTGTTCCTCGGTTTTTAAAAAAGGCGCGTCCAGCACTGAATCGAGAAGGTTGACCACACAGACAGCCAGAAGGGCATACCAAGGACAGCTTCTTTTTCGTCTGCTCACTTCCGCTTGAGGTCTGCGCAGGTTTGCAACCGTCTGACTCGTAGTCAGGATTTTTTGAGGTGCGCAACGACGGTTGAAGAACCTCTGCCCGGGGGCCGTGGTCACAGATACAGATTTGACGGTTGCAGAGGCTATGCATCAGAAGCATAAATTGGCCTTTAGGCTCAATTTTGAAGCGTGGTCTGCACTATGTTATTCTACGCCACAACGCAAGAGGGACAATCAGGAACTAGCTGTGTGTGTAGATATGGCTAAGGCGGTGAGGAGGTGGGGGCAAGTTTTTGCGATAATGGAGTGACATGAGGGCAAAAAAGAGCGGGGATCTAGGTGGAAAAAGGGTCTCTGTGTTCTCACGCACCTCACTCTTCTAGCTGGTCCATCTTTAGGAGTCGTTTTCCACAATGGCGGTCATACAAACAAAACAAGCCGCTAATGTACCAAACAGAAAATATGCGTAATGTAGAGCGGATGTAGATTTGACCAATCAGAGGCCTCCTGTCTGCGGTCACCTACAATTCTGGACAGATGCATCAGAGGGGCGTCTCTGCGTTCACTGCGACACACGCAGACGACCTGGTTTCTGAGTATAAATCAGCCTTTATGTAGGAAGGTTCTGACAGGAGCAAAAAGTGTAGGGGTTCTAGACAGAAACACAAAACAAGCAAAACGAGTCTGAAAGTTTGAAAATGGGAAGAATGAAAAGTTCTGAATGGAAAAGAAGGAAAAATATATATTTTTTCTAACTTTAAGTTTTAATCTAAAACATTTAAAATAAAATTCTGGCTAGATTTGACTCAGATTAAAAGTCTTTAAAGTTTCTTCTTCCCAAAATATTGTTTTAAATCCACTAAATTTCAGGTAGAAATTTGAGGAATTTGGTTTCTGCTCCTTATCTTCTTCTCAGCCCAAAGAAACCAGAATCACTGGGATTAATGAAAAAAGAAACGCTTCAAATTTCCTCATGAACAAAGTTAAGCATTCGACCTTCTGTGATCTTCATCGCTGCTGAATCCAGCTCATAACAGGAGCCTGATGAAGACGAAGGAGGTTTAACTGGGACCTGAGGCAGCAGCCAACAGAGACGGATTAACTCTGAAATTAGCCGAGTGTTAATCTGCTGACTGAACTCTCTGTACTTAGAGCTCACATGATCCACCAGAACCACCCAGAATTCTTCCTGGTTCTGTCTCGCCGTTGATAGAAAATTATTCTGATTTTGTTTTCTCTGAAGATTTCCTTTAAATTTGGTTCTGATCCCGACAGTTAAGGTTCTAAACAAACCGGACCGAGTTCCTGCAGTTTCTTTTTAAAATTCGCCTCCACTCATTTTTGGGTGTTTCTGTTTCTACTTTCTGGTACCAAACAGTAAACGGTGTCACTACTCGATCCGTTCTGGAAGCATGATCCGTCCGGCTTATGCACGAACAGATATACATCCTTAACTCTCCTTAACTCACTAAACAACGCTACTACACATCTTTATAATACCACAGTGTTAAAATGAAACAAAAACAAACTCAAAAAGACTAGATTTATGTTTATATCCAAAGCCGAAAATGTTAGTCACCGGTAGTAGCGTATGATCCCATTTCCGGTGCAGATTGGGCACAGAGTGATAAAACAGAAAGGATTTTAAGGCATTTATTTTCTCAGGAAATACATTATTAACCTTTAACACATTATATTTTGTATGTTTACTATTTTTGGGGAGGGAAAAATGTCATTAAGGTCTTTTTAACTAAATAAAATAGAGGGCGACCCAGATGTATATCTGGATGCGCATGTGCCATTGTGCTGATGGCGCATGCGCAGAACGGATCATGCACCCGGGACGGATCGGTTTGTGACAAACGGCTCGATGAAGCAGCCGGGTTCTGGTTCCTCAGCCTGGATAAGGACTGACCCTTATCTATGCCAACAGGAGGCCCCTTGGTTCATTTGGTCTGATCATCAGAACCGAAACGAGTCCAAATATAATTAGTTGAAAAATGCATTTAACTCTCATAATCATCAATCTGCCCAGAGAAGCAAACAAAGGATCCAAATGACCAGAACCAATCAGATGGTCACTCGGTTCCATCGCGCTGACAGATATTGTGCGTCTGTCTCCCCTTACAGGCCATCCAGGACATCACACGGAACAGGGACATCGACCCGGAGGAGATCGTCACGCTCATCTTTGAGCGGATTGATGTGAAGGGTGAAGGTAAGGAGAGCATCCAGTCCAGAACCAGAACCTGAACTGGTTTGCCGCCTCATGTTGACCTTTGACCTCTTTCCAGGTGAGTTGACGCTGGAAGAGTTCATCGACGGAGCCAAGGAACATCCGGACATCATGGAAATGCTGAAGAACCTGATGGACCTGACACCGGTTCTGGAGATCATCGTGAACAGCCGAGAGTCCGCCATCCAGAACTGAAGACCAGAGATCACGATGTAACGGCCGATTAAGCGAATGGCAGGATTCCCGGTGGACGTCTAAAATCTACCCATCAATGCGATCCAAACCCACAGAACCTCACGCTGACCCACATCCACCGCGATTCTGATCCAACTCTTCCACTCGTCCTTTTCCTCAAAGGTTCTCCTGGGAAGATCTGGGGATTTTCAGATCGGAAGCGGCTGATTTTTTTTTAGGACTGAAGTGTCTCCCTGATGGATTCCATGAAACATTAACTTCAGTTCCTTCAGAGAGTAATAATATTTAGGTTGGTATTTATTTATTTTGAAAGGGAGGATCTTTGAGCACTTTTACCCACAGAGATTTATGACTTTTTATACAATAATTATTAAATGAGAGGATTTATTGACAATATTTTCCATCATATTTGATCCCAAAGATCTGTTTGGTTTCCTGTTGCTTTGAGGAGCCGAGAAAAAGTTGGGATCCATATTTATAGAGAACTTCTCAGGCGTTTTTTCTGAACCCAGGAAGAAACTTTACCTCTTGATGGCCCCTGATGTCATTGGAAGCATTTAGCGGCAATGTGTGACTGAAACACACCGAAAGTCCTCTTGAAACATTTAAAGATCAATTAATCCTCAGACTCTGCTCCTCCTGCTCCAGGCCAGTCCATGAACCATCGCAGGTCAGAGCAGGAAAATCCAGGCCAGCAGGACGGACTCTGAAGGACGGATTTATCTCACCTAATGCAGGATTTACAGCTTCCTCTCATTAAGGAACCAACAGGTTCCTCGTGGAGGAAAACCATCGTCAGAAATGAGAGACCCAGAATGAAACAGCTGCTGACATCGAGTGGTCAACAAGGAAAGATTCTGTTTTTTTCAGGATTCTTTTTCCAGAAGGTGAATAGATAGGAAAGCTCAAAATGTGGCCTTTAGCTTAAAGAAAATCTTCACGTTTGGTTATTATGACATTTTTTCCTTTTTTGGGGCCCAAATTCCATCCATGTGTGGTTCTTAAAAATAAATCAAACCCATTCAGCAAATATATTCACACCCCAAGTATCATAAACTATATCCTTCGGTCTCTGAGGTTCGTTAGCTCTGATGTGATGGAAACCTCTGGTGGCCATATTTCCCTCTGCAGCCTAAAATGAACGGAATTCAGTCTGAAGCCGATTTAACCAAAGTGACATAAAAAATGTGACTTTCAGCTGAATAATCTGTCCGTCTCTGGCTAATCAACACTCAACTGACACTTGAAGACAAACTTGTTTTATCTTCAGCTGAAGGAAAAACTTCAGCATTCATCAAAGCCAACTGGCTCCCTGTTGGTGAGGACGTAGGAACTCTTCAAGATTATTCTCTGCTTAAAATAACCAACATATCAGAAATTATTGATCATAGAATCAGTTTGGAGCTCGCTCTGATGGCGGCTAAAGCAATAACCTGGTGTTCATAAAATCATATCAGATTTAAAGGCACTTTTATTGTACATGGTACTGATATTTGTGTTTTGTTGCCTTATTAATAAAGTTTTTGAACAAACTGCCCTGGGTTAGCATCTCAGTGTTTTTTGTTTGGTTACATGTTTTCACTTGTTTTTACAAGTTGTTAAAAACAAAACCCTGCGGTAACCTGGTATACGTGTGTTGTTGACCCTCAAAGGTGAACGCCAACGGCTCTTGGCAGCTTTCCTGGATGGGTATGCAGAAGAACGCCTTAGCGAGATCAAGGACAGTAAAAAAACCTGCAAGTATTCTCTAGATTTGAAATCATCGTTTATGGATTTGGCAACTTTAAAGTTTTACAGAACCAAACGGCGCTTCGAAAAGGCTCCGATTGCTCTAAACTGCAGAAAAAATCAGCCGGTTCAGAATAAAGAAAATCATCAACCAGTAAAGGTCTGGAGACATTTTGTTACTTCAAACTGAATTTAACACTGAAATAAAATTAGGTTTTTATGCATCCATGTTATACATTGAATTCTTAAATTAACTGTTTTTTGAAATAGAGGAACAATAATCGTTCAGTTTGGTATATAGACAATTCCTTGATTCAAATATTTTATAAAATAGATTAAGGAACGGGCTCCACGCCGCTACCTGTATTTCAATGAGGCGGCATCTCAAACCCGAGCCGCCATCTTTGTCTCAGTCCTAACAAGTACCAATGAAAGAGAAACGCAGCAGTGTTAAATTATTTCTTTATTTAGAAAAACATTCAGCAGATCTTTGGTCCTAAACATCTTCAACCCATCAGCCCGTCTTTGACCAAACATTTCCTCACGTTAAACATTTTTTCCACTTGGTTCTTCAGCAGCCGGATGGGAAGCTGGACCGTATCTGAACAGATGTGACCAGAACCCAGGCTGAAAACCTTTTTCCTCCTCAGGGGTCCATTAGTTCTGTGTCAGTGTCTCCCAGAAGCAGCTGGCACCGGCCCGTTTGGACCTTCTGACCTCACAGCTGTTTGGCTTTGCCGTCTGAGCGCAGCAGAGTGACGTATAGACGCAGGAAGGAGTAGCTGACCCCCAGGGCGCAGTACACCGAGGTCACCAACAGGGGGAGGAACGGCAGCTTCTGTTGCCACGGTGACAGAGGGAAGATGAACTCGCACCCGATCGCCACAGCAACCAGCCCCAGCAGGTAGACGATCTCCAGAGGACGGAGCAGAGAGCCCTGGGCCCTGAGGGGACAGTAATCCGATTACATCCAGACTCAGATTGGACCGACAGAACCGGACCGGTGACAGGTGTTCCTTTACCTGTGCAGCTTCCCGAGGGCAGAGAAGGAGAAGACGGTGAACATCAGCATCAGGCACACTTTGATCGGCAGCTCTGGAAACACGAGTCAGAACATTTAGGAGAACCTTCAACCAACAGAACCACATCAACACGTCTCATTAAACGTCCCGAAACAAAAACCAAACGATAAACTCAGGGGGGCGTTTTCTCTCAGGCCTCCAGGAGACTCTGCTCTACTTTAACCGGTCCGTCTGCAGAAGAACCCAGAAGATCAAAGCAACCCATGAATCCTGGAGAGCTTCCCAATAAAGGAAGGAAGGGAGTCAACAGTCAGACCATCAGGGTGGCTGAGGGTTTGGACAAAACGTTCACTTCTGTCTGCTGATTGTTTGGACAAATGGAACAGATACCAGCAGCTGGAACTGGTTCCTTCTTCTGGCGGGAGTCAAATGAACAACTAAAAATGTTAAAATGGAGGTTGGAAGGTGGTTGGCACCAGACGGACCGGTCCATCACTACCTGTGGAACCATCTCAGGTTTACAGAGAAGCTTGGAAAACATCTGCTAAGCCACAGTGATGGATCTATTGAGCATTTTCTATGTTTAAGGCTGTGGTGTGAAGCCTGCTGGGAGCCCCTCCCCCCTCCAAAGCGCCATCAGTCAGTCTCACTGGGTAGCAGGATATTATATCATGTCTTCCTCTCATCCAATGCGGTTCCTCTGCTGCATTTTAATTAAATCTGACGATATAAAAACATTCATAGAAGTAGTTTGAAGTAAATACTAATGATTTTTTGTTTAAAGCTGATTTAGTCTTGTTAATCTCCTTCTCTCATCAGTGTTAATAATTCTCTATCCTAGAGTTAAAATACTTTTACTTATAAATTTATTTTGTATGTTTTTGTTCCAAATGTGTAACAAATAGATTCTATTTGGGTCAATGAGTAGAATCAATAAATTCTCATCGATATCCGTCTCCAGTGAGCAGCGGCGGCTCTGAATGTTGTCATGGTAACATGGACCAACATCTCAGAGGATCGTTTGGATGCTGTTTAATCTGTGACATGAGTTAAAGCAGGAGGAGCTACAGGACGAGGAGTCAGAACTGAGCTTATCTTCAACAAACGGCCTTCAGAATAAAAGCTTCCTGTTTACCTGCGGGGGTGAAGATCAGCGGGAACAGGGAGTAATGTCCAGTGGTGGTCAGAACCAGGAAAATCCCAGCATCCTCTCTGCTCTCCACCGCCAGGATGCTGCAGGCAGAAACAAACATGAGGACTCGGGTGCATACGGAGCGATGGCGCCCCCTGCTGCAGGATGAGGGTCAGACCTGAGCGGCAGGATGGCGATGAGGATGGCTTTCTCGTGGACGTGCCATCCGAACATGAAGGAGGCAAGAGCACAGATCAGCAGGCAGCGCAAGAAGGCCCGGCTCCCGCGTGGACGCCGCCAGATGGAGAGCAGCGCCGGCTGGGGAAAAAAACCCACAGAATAAAATGGCTTCCGCACTGATCTGGGTCAATTGGTCCAAATTTGTCTCCAGGGAAACAGAACCAAAACACAGCCTTCAGTAACCAGCGGGTCCGATCAAACAGGCCAGCGTGGTTCAGACTCACCAGGATGGACAGCAGCGTGCAAACGAGTGTAACTGCGGGAGAGACGGACGGGAGGACGGCGTGCTGGAACTCCTGGACCAACCCGCCCGTCATGGAGGCTCGAGGAAGCTCCGCCTCCTTCACCAGCTTCAGACGAACACCTAGAAGAAAAAACAAGGAGGGTTTGGACCTTCATCGGCTTCCAGAACATCATCATCAATAGCTGCTGCCGTATCAGGTCCAATCATCTCCTCACCCAGAACCGCCAGCAGCTTATCGGCGCTGTTGTAGAGGGCCCAGACGTTGGGGGCCCAGTAGGCGTGGCACAGGCCCCGCTTGAAGGGGAAGAGTCGGGATAAAACCTGGGAGAGCTGGCCCTGGAAACACCACCACCATCATCATCATCATCATCAGGTGGGGGTGGGGGGTGTGGGTCTGGGGTCAGAGGAAGGAGGGACTCACCATGGCAACAAACGGCCCGAAGGACAGAGCGAAGACGGAGGAGACGATTGAGCCCAGAGCCAGCAGGCGCAGCGGGCTGAAGCTGCTCCACCGGATGGAGCCGTCTGCAGGAGGAGGAGAAGAAACGGACCAACTAGGATCAGAACCAGAACCTGAAGCAGCCCCGAATGTCACCGCCCGACCCGTACCATCAGCTCATTACATCCGGGTCGCCCTCGATTTCATTTAGTAGAAATGGACCTAAATTATGTTTTTTCCCTCCTTAAAAATAGTAAGTTTACTAAACTATAATGTGTTAAAGGTTAATGATACGTCTTAAGATCCTTTCTGTTTTATCAGTTGTTCTGCCTTTTCTGTATCGGAAATGGGAACCTAACGCTACTTCCAGTGGCTTTTCGGCTTTGGATTTAAACATAAATCTAGTCTTAAGTTTTATGTTTTCCTTTAGTGTTAACATTATGTTATATAATGGTTAACCTAAAGAAAGACCCAAATAAAATGCAGATTAACATGTTTTAATCATATTTTACCAGACTGCTCTGAGCATGTCCGATGATGACGTCACACAAGCAGTTTAACTGAGAAAATGTAAAAAGCATCAAAATTGTCTCAGAAAAACTCATAAAACTGTTTTTAAAGGTGTGTATTAGCATTCTTTAGTGAGTTAAGGATAGAAATACTTCATTTTAGTATTATAATGATATTATTTAGCATTACCTGGGTGGTCCTTAGTGAAGCAGTAGCTTCTCAGCAGAAAGACGCCGTAAGCTGGAGCCACGTACAGGTAGATGTGCTTCAGGTTCAGCAGGATGGCGAACAGCAGCGCCCCCTGCAGGTGCCTAGACTGATCAGTAAGAAAATGAAGAGGAAACGCCTGTTAGGGGGACTTTCTTTTCTTTAAGAGTGTGTCTAACCCAGCAGCTGTCGGTACCTGCAGGTGTTTGGCCAGAGACAGCAGCAGGAACCCAAACAGGAAGCCGTTATACTGGAAGTGGATGTCTGAGAGCGGCATGAAGGAACCAGACACACATCTAACCTCCATCTGGACCAACAGAACCCTGCAGCTGAAGGATACGGTCCACCAGGAGGAGGCCGAAGTTCCACAGCAGCAGCACGGCCAGGACGAAAGACGGCCGGTTCAGAACCTCCACAGAACCTTTCTGCACCTGAACGCAGCGGCAGCACCTGGAAAAGGAGCAGCCAATCAGCACGCAGATGAGAGGAGAAGGCATCAATTAGGACCTCACAAAAAAAAACAGGAAATGGATAAAAACCCAAATAGAAAATAAATTCTTATTGTTTACAGTCCAACTTTCCTAATCATATATTTTTATATATATTTTTCCTCTTATTTTAATGATTTTCTTTAGTCAAGTTGTCTTTATGCTGATGTAAATGACTTTTTTAGATGTTCAGCAGTTTGAACTGTCATCTTCTATAGAAATAAACCACCATGATGTCATTATAATCACTAATCCTGAGTTGATCGGTCAAGGCAGCCGTACCAGAGCCAGAGGGTCCTCATTCCATTGTTCATACATTAATAAAACCTAAATATTACAGTTGAGACTGAATGAAATGTAAATCAGATCTTTTTTATTAAACAATAATGACGGTAAGCTATTAAAACATTTATAATAATGAACGTTCCATTACGCCAGCGTTTAATAAGCCTTGATTTCTTTGACCAGGTAAACACTGTAGATGTACGACTGAAAAGCTGCCAGGCTCTGCTAACGTCTTAGCCAGGGGTAACCAATTAAAAATCAGCGGAGTGCGGGATCCGTTACTTTAAACAGAATTTTGCACTGAAATAAAATGAGGTTTTTATGCATTCATGTTCCAGAAATTAATTAAAGTTTCATTAGCTAGAGTAGAGAGATTCTACTTACAGCAGTAATTATACCAAGACTGTAAAAAACATGTAACAAAAAATAATAAATAAATAAATAATAATAAAAATAAATTTTTCTTCGGTCAATCTGCTCTATGCAGGACTTCACAGGTGGAAAAGTTTGAGTTTCACCTGGTTTAATTTCATAAGAAGTCTTATTTAAGGAACCGTTGGCTATCTGATTATTAATCGATTAATTGAAAAAAGTAATCAACAGATTAAGTGATTTGCAAAATAATGGTCAGTTGCAGCCCTAGTTAGCATGAGCCGCTAACTTTCCTCAAAGCAGCTGAAGGTTTGGATCATAAAAGCTCCAACTCTTGGAGAAACATTAGGTTTGATGTCTTTGGTCTAAACTGCCTGAACAGAACCGAGGTTCCTCTAACTGGGTCAGTTTTATTGATTTTTAGCTCATTATTGTGGATTTAAAATGTTTGTGATGCTACAGCAGCCATTCTTTATGCTTCCTCGGTTTTCCTGTTCTAAACATCCGGTTCCAGATCAATGAAGTTCAGAATCAACCCAACAGGTGAAGATTGGTTGTTTCATCAGAACTCCCTGATGGACCCAACATCATGAACTGGTTTCCCTTACAGAACCTTCTGGACTCACTCTTTGACGGCGTAGATGAAGAGCAGGTCGGTGAAGACCACCGACAGCCTCTGGAACAGAACGGTGGACGGGCTGGCGTAGTTCAGGTTCTCCACCTGCAGCATGTTCGGGTCAAAGTGCTGCGCCGCCTGTGACAGACCCAGCTCGAACCAGGCAAACAGCGGCGGGTAGTCCAGGGTCCACTCAGAGGAGTTCTGGAACAGATTGAACACCGAGTCAGAAGGCTATCAGGTTCTCCTGGATCCAAACCCAGGTCTGGCTGGTACTGACCTCATGGTACCAGCGGGACACCGGCAGGCTGTGCGTGATGGCCAACCAGTTCCTGTGGACCTCAAAGTCTGTGGAATGACTGGAGACAGACAGAACCGGATCAAAGCAGGTCCAAACAAACATCCCAGACTTGAACCAAGAACCATCCTGCTGCAGTGGATCTCTGAGTCACTTTAATCTAAGAAACCCGGAACCATGGGGCCAGGTCGGGTCATTGAACCTGAACTGATGTTAGAACCAAAAATTCTGGCCGGGCCTGACTGAGGTCCAGTTATCAACATAAAACATTCAGAGCATCTCTGATAATGGATCCAAATCTAAACACAGCAGCTGCTCTGATCCAGCTCCTCCTGGTACCACTGGACCCACAAAGCATTAAGGAACCAAACCAGAAGATGTTACTACATTTCAGCCCATTTTAAAAACTCAACAATCAGAACCTCAAAGCAACAAGAAGGATCTTTAACATAGAAATCTTCAGGTTCTGGTCCATGAAGGAAGAAAACACAGAGCGACCTGCTAGAGAGGCTGGATGCTCAGAGAGCTGAATCAGAGCACATTGAAGGAAAGTTGAGTGGAAGGAAAAATGTCTGACAGGTAAAGTAAAGCATCTTTCTGACGAGGTAAAGGTTTGTCAGAGCTTCAGGAGGCAGACCAGAACCGGAACTAGAACCTGTCATCACTGGAGCTGAACCAGAAACAGCATCAGAGTCCTCCCACTTAGGGAAAAGAACGGGCCACTGCTCCAGGTAAAATTAAATCTGCTTTTCAGAATCCAGACCCCTAATGTTGGAAGAAGAGAGGAGAGATGCTCAGAATCCATGTTATCAACTGGTTCTGGTCCAGTGGGTTTCATCCAGCCAGGCCACACAGCCATCTAACAGAACATTTTAGAAAACTTCTTGCTTCCGTCTAAGAAGCTCTTCTGAAAAACCATGGTTCCAGTTACAGGGTCAAATGGACCGGGTCACGAGCGGCCTGGACTTCTCAGCACCTGAGCAGAACCAGCTGATCCACTCCAAACTGATGCAGTTCAGTCTGTGCACGGCTCTGACCAACTGCTCTGTAGAAACCCTGTTCTGGATTTAATTCATATTATTGGTCTAATTAAAGGTCCGGATTTTCGATTTTCATTCAATTTAAACAGAATAAAAACAAACTACTATATATATATATATATATATATATATATATATATATATATATATATATATATATATATATATATATATAAATATACAATATACTTATATATGACGTTTGATCTCAAATTTCTGAACTGAATCAATGAAATGATCTGAGAACCTCAACTACAGCCAAACAGCGCCATCTAGTGGCTTCACCATTCCTCAGGCTGCTGGTTAGAACACGTCAACTTTTACTCAGAATATACTTTATACCTTAAATTTTGATTTATAAAATCACATCATAAAGTCTAAACACATCATTTTTTAATAACGTCTCCAGACTTGACATTTATCAGTTTGAAGTTCGCTTTTAAGCATTTAAAGTCGCTCTTTATAAGGTAGCTAGCCGCTAGCGGGGTTAGCCTGATGCTAAGTTTTCCTCTAAAATAAAAACCAGCGGGTGTGAATCGGACCCACTGGCCGACAGCATCCCACGAGTGAACGTTTCCACTCACTAAGCGTTGATGAAGAGACATTTGAGCAGAGAAACTCCCACAGCTAACGCCGTGAACCAGCTCCAACTGTCTACCGAAGCCGCCATGACAGCCAGCCGGGAGGCGGATTGAACTCTGAAACTTTATTGATATCAGGGAGACGAACAGAACAGAACCGCGGTCTGCTCTAGTTCACTTTATGTTCTGCATCGTTCTGATAGGAAAGTAAACCGCCTGTTTACCAGTTTTACGGGATTAACTGCTTGACTGATCTGTATAAAGGTTTTATTAATTATATACATCAGATGCGTTCAAGGTAATTTCTTACTATAGGGAAATCCTATATTTCTAGTCAAATAAAAGAAGCTTGTTGAAGAACTAATGTTATTCTCTTTGTAATCACCGTGTTTTGTGGGAAAACAGATCTCAGAATAATTTATTGACAGCAAACATTTAAATCAACGTTATTCTTCTTCTGTTCTATTTAATAATAATAAATATATATATATAAAGAATTGAAAGCTTGTAAAGTTGTCAAGAACGTATTTTATTTTAACTGCTTTTGGTTTTCAAATAGTTTCATTCTGATGTTGTTTTGTTTGAGTTCTTTTTGCCTCGGAATCTTTTATTTGATTTTTTTTTATATACATTTATTAGAAAATGCTTTATAATATAGAAACTAGTACAAATTCCAGTGAACAATCACCAGGGGTTTGAGCAAAAAGTAATAAATAATTAAATAAAAAGTAACTGAATAAAAGTAAAAAATAGCAATAGTAAATAGATGCATGTAAAGGGATTGCAAAGATAATTTTTGCCTCAGATTTAAATGGGGTCTTAAATGGAAGGGCACGTCATTGTTTCCCGAACAGCTGATTGGCTGTCTGGTATTATGGGCAGTGACTGGATGGAACTTCTTCTGAAGCATTAATGGAGATGGAAACTGAAATAAATCTAAATTTATAAGGACGGGAAGAATAAAAAAACCTTTAAAACTAAAATTCCTTTTCATATGGTCTAAATGTGCAGTTTTCTTAAATTAAGTTTAGACGTTAATTGATTTTAGGAAACTACTTTTCAAATTACACTTTAAAAATTGTCTTATTTTAATTTATATTTACCATTATTGGTTTTAACGCGCTATCTAGAAGCAGTACCGAGGTTTTATCACTAGAGGGCTCTATGTTTTCTAAAGATTCTCAGCTGTGGTCTGTCCGGCGGTCCCTGAATGCATCACCGCAGCCCCTTTTCGCCCAGCTGTTTCTGTCTGCGCGCGCCCGGCTGGAGCGCGCTTTAGTAAAGTTTAGCTAAAGTTCGGTGGTACCGGTTTACCGGTTCGGGTAAACACGGCGGCTTCAGGGGTGAAGGCGCTGCTGCGGCGGACTGTCGCGCGGCGGTTTGGCGCGTGGAGAGGTAAGCGCCGCGGGTGGGGGGGCTAAACGGTAATCCAGTTAAATCAGAGGGTCAAAGTGCGCATGTGTCGGTGTGCTTTCAGAACCCGGATAGTTCTGCTGTTACTGCGGTTCTTCTTCAGAATGAGATCAATGTTTGCTCGGTTTCATTTCGGTGCTTCCTGTTGGTTCTCTTCCTGTCTCACATCCTTCCCTCCTGGTCCTCCCTGGGTTTGGTTCTCCATGTTATGGTGGCATCCAAGTCCTTGGATATAAATACCATCAGCATGAAGGACGGGTTGATGGACATGTCCTCTGCCTAAGATCAAGTTGGACATTTTAAATCTCAGATCAGGTTGGAAAAGGATCCTAGTCTGGAGGAAAAGTCTGACTGGAGGATCTTTAGATTCCGGAGCCCTGATTGGATCAGTTTTCAGGATCCTTAGAACTGATCTGGGTTCAGATGAGACTGGTTCTGGATCCACCAGAACACCACATGTTCTAGATCAGGGGTAACCAATTAATAATCAGTGGGTCTGAATAAAGAAAATCATCAACCAGTGAAGGTCAGCTGACATTTTTAATTATAAATAGGGGTGTAAATCACATCCATCATGGTGATTCGATTCAGTATCAATTTCCTGAAACAACGATTCGATTATTTTTAATACTCAAGAATAAACCACGATACGATTCCATTAATTGGTTGTTTTTTTTATTGCCTTACAGACTAGACAATGTTTTATATTTGAAATAAATCAATGAAAACTGCAATATTGTTATGCATTTTATTTGAGAAACAGCAGCCAATAACAGAAGTAGCAAAGTTGTATTCCTCCTAGGCCTATTAAAACCTCATTCCCTGAAAAATGATCACGCCTCGGTGTTAGAGGCTAAAGGAAGCGAGGTAGGAGGGCAAAGTAGGTTTAGCGCCACCGCAGGACGGGAGTCAGAATTACGTCCAGGAACAAATGGATAAAAATAGACCGGAGGACAAAAAAAGCACAACATGAATTGATAGTCCTGTGGACCTGTCGATGTATAGAATCATCAGCTGTTGGATCGATGCATTGATGCAAAACAATTATTATAATCTGTTACTTTAAACAGAATTTAACACTGAAATAAAATTAGGTTATTATGCATCCATGTTATACATTGAATTTTTAAATAAAAATATGTATAAAAAAATTTTTGAAGTGATTTTTGAAGTAAAGAAGAATCGTTCAGTTTGGTATATAGACAATTTCTTGATTCACATATTTTATAAAACACCTGAACTGACCGTTATTTATTTTTTCTAGCTTATTGAGAGCAGTGGGCTTTAGGCTGCTCTGCAAGGCTTTAAACCTTTAAAGTCATTCTAAAGCACAAATCAAGGAGCTCATTCTGAGCCTTGATCCATATTTATTTTTGATTCTG